TATGTATGCATGCATGTATGTATGCGTAGAAAGATAGATGATAGATAGATAGATAGATAGATAGATAGATAGATAGATAGATAGATAGATAGATAGATAGATAGATAGCACAAAGGCAAGGAAGGAGGCAAGGAAGATAGCATCCACATACCATCAAAGGATAAGACAGGTCCTGAAGAGCCAGCTCAATGGAAAGAACAAGATCCATGCCATCAACACATATGCCATCAGATACCCTGCCGCCGATATAGTGAGCTGGCCAAAGGAGGACATGGAGGCTGCTGATGTGAAGACCTGGAAACTCCTCACAATGTACGGAGGTTTCCATTCCAAGTCCAACACCCAGAGACTACACCAGCCGGAAAGCAGGTGGGCGGGGTCTGGTAAGTGTCAAAGCCACTGTCCTGGATGAAACCAGAGCATCCAGGAATATATCAGTAAGATGGCACCCAAAGATGAGCTGCTGACATAATGCCTGAGGTGGCAGCAGACATGGGAGGAAGTTTAAACAGAGGAAGTTCCATGGCAAGACAAGACCCTGCATGGGATGTACCATCAACAGATAGCTGAGATGGTTGGCATTGGGAAATCTCACCAGTGCCTGGAAAGGGCTGGACTAAAAAATGACACTAAGGCACTAATCATTACAGCACAAGAACAAGCACTAACCATCAGATCCATAGAAGCAGGGATTCTACACATTAGATAGGACCCAAGGTGCAGACTGTGCAAAAAGGCCTCAGAGACAATCCAACACATAGTGGCAGGGTATAAGATGTAGGCAGGGTATAAGATGTAGGCATACACTGAAAGGCACAACCAAATAGCTGGCATTGTGTACAGGAACATCTGCACAGTGTGACCCTCCCAAGGCTAAGATCCTGTAGGACTTCCAGATCCAATCAACAAAATGCTATGGTATTAGACAAGGACCAGAAGACAGTGGTGGTGATAGATGTAGTGGTGTCAAGTGACAACAACATCAGGAAGAAGTATAAGAAGTTGGAGAAGTACCAGGGCCTTGAAGGAAGAGCTAGAGAGGATTTGGAATGTAAAGGCCAAAGTGGTCCCAGTGCTGGTAGGAGCACTCGGGGCTGTGACACCTAAGCTGTGAGAGTGACTCCAACAGATCCCAGGAACAACATCAGGGCTCTCTGTCCAGAAGAGTGCAGGGCTAGGAACAGCTAAGATACCGCGCAGAACCCTCAAACTCTCAGGCCTCTGGTAGAGGACCCGAGATTGAGAAAGATACGTACCACCCATAAGGGTGAGAGGGGATTTTTTTTTCTGCACACATACACAAACACACATACCTCCCTTTTCTTTGTAAGCCAGAGGTAGGGAACAGAATACACCTCAAAAGCTGATTCACTTCTCTAAAATGGTTTATGAGATATCAGGGGCATGGCACCCTCTGGCATTCTTTCCTCTGCTTAGATAGAAAATATTCAATTTAAAGAACAAATTGATAAAAAATGTCTTAGTATTCATAGACCAAAACAGGTTGCCCTTGTATCTGGAGCAAGCAACCTTCTGAGATCAATGGACTCACTTAGAATGTTGAGAACAAAATGTGTCAGGCATTTTTTACAAGATGGCTATCACAGCCATCATAGCCAGTCACAGAACACCCTTTTAGCAGAAAGCAAACTAGTAAAGTTGCTATCCATAAGTACATACTTGTACTTAAATTATCTCAAAATAACTTCTATAAACATGAAGAGTTTTAAGATTTGTTTTAATACTGATTTTTAAATATCTTTCTGGCTTTATTCTGGTACAAAAAGGTCAATAGACCATATACAATAAAATATTATTCTATTTTACCAGCTTCCTGTATATCACATCTTCCTTATAATGCTTAATAATACCAGGATAGACATACCATCCATTAATATGCCTGGGTGATCTTTTCACATCAGCCTTCTCTAATCTAAGTACCTTCTAAATATGTGGATGTCAACTTCTAGAAATCCATCCCTGCAATAATTATAATGACCCAGAATTATTCTGAATGGGTAGCGTACAAATGTGATTATAAATACATATTTTGAGAACAAAAGTCCACACATCTAGATATACACAAACTGTCAAAGGCTGTTTTATACCTTTGTCTGTTAAATACTGTGATACATCATTGCAATTATATCAAAATCAGTAGTCTCTTTATAAATATGTTTATATAGATGCAACTTTTTGGGGGTGGTGCCTTCAAGTCAGTCTTGACTCCTCGTGATTGCCTGAACAAGTCTCTGCAGTTTTCTTGGCAACATTTTTGGAAATGGTTTGCTGCTGCCTCCCTCCAAGGACTGAGAGAGAAGGACTTGGCCAAGGACACCCAGCTGGCTTCATGCCTAAGTCAGGACTAGAACTCAGAGTTTCCTGGTTTCTAAGCTGGTACCTTAACCACTACATCAAATCTGCACTTACAGATGCAACTAGTAATATACATTCTGACTTAGATTTAAATGTTAAATTATTCAAACTATGTTCTTGATTATTTAAATATTTAAATAGAATTATTTAAATAGAATTTAAAATGGCCATGATTCAACCCACCTCTCTAGTCCTTTGTACACTGGAAAATTTGATTAAAAGACTAAATTTCACCTAAGATAATCAAATGATGCCCCTTGTTCTCAAAAAGATTAACTTTGTAATCAAGTTAAAAATAGGTCTTGCTCTGCTTAAATATAAGTTCATATCAAATAAAAATACCAAAGGGAGTTAAAATATTACATGAGTTTGGGAATATAAAGACAATACATACAAGAGGCTGAGCTAAAAGATCCATAGGCTGGTTCAAAATTTTAAATTAACATTTTGTGTAGCTAAATTAAATATTGGCATTACGTGTTAATATTTACTCTTGAGTAAACAAATAATGAAATGACCAAACTGATATGCAATTTAATATGTATTGTTTTTATTTTTGAAAGCCATGAATGATCAAATAAGCTTAGGCCTATAGTACATATAGCAACTTAAAAAAAAATCCTTGTACACATCTCCATGCTGTCATTCCAATGAAAATCCCCCTCCATTTGTTGCTCTTTGGCATGGATGGAAGCTGATGTTGATACCAATGGCAGGATCACTGTCAGGACCAGGAACAATTTATCAATTGCTTTACAGGTAGTTCTCAGGTTATGACCCTAACTGGGACTGGAATATCTATCACTAAGAGAAGTGGTCATTAAGTGAAACACCACATGACCACACTGCTTAGCGACAGCAGTCCCAGCAGCCCTGATTGCAGTTGTTAGGCAAGGACCGCATGGTCATTAGGCCAGGACCTCATGCTTCTCCTGCCCAGTGTGAACTGCCTCTGCTTCAACTCCTCCCACTCACCTACCTCCTCCACATCTCTGCCCTTTGGCCACCCTGCACAGCATGGCCAAGATGAAGAGGTCACTGTATTCCTCCGCCGCTGCCCCCGCCACTGCTGCCCCAAGCTGACCTTATCTTCTTTGCCTTATCACCTCTCTATTGGGCTCACCACTGTCTCAACCCCTACAGTGTGGGGACTCTGTCCACCATTCTGTGCAGGGTGCCCCTGCCCCTTGCCACTGTCTCCCTGGCCACCGGGCTCCTGGTGGGCCTGCCCCCATCACCAGTTTCATCCCACTGCCAACCGGGAGGGCTCTACATGCTCTTCACATTCCTGCCCCACACAAGGAAGTTCCTCTGCTGCTACTGCCCCACACAAAGGAGGAAGCCATCCAGAGAGCACTGTCCCCTGCTGCCCTCCTGGGAAGGGAGGGGCCCAGGCCACAAGTCCTCCACACTGCTGTGCACCACTACTGGCTCAGGCAATCCTCC